GGGGAATTCTGGGAGTTGAAGTCCACACATCTTCAAGCTGCCACGGTTGAGAAACACTGGTCTAGAATAACTTAATTTTTTCAAAATGTTGATTGCTGAGGACATTAATGGCGTGCCAGATGCCATTATAATGAGACAGGGATAAATATTCTGATCTTCTCCAGCCTCTTGGGACTATATTTCCCACAATTGCCATTAGCCATTCTCCCTGGGGCTAAAATAACTGAAGAGTATTAAATTGCCTCTCTCTGTTATAAATGGCTACTGAGATGTGACTAACTCAAAAATTTCTGAAACCTTAAAGAACTCACCCCTGATTATTTTAATGGGATTTAATTTCCTTTGATTCTGTGATGAAGGGACCTTTTGAAATGAACCATGATTTCTAATGATCAAACTTACTATGAATACAATTTTAAATATATACCTCGTAGGGTTACTTAATATCTAGTAGGGAGGTACAAAATTTATCAGTCTTGGAGCAGAACATTCTAGTGAACTTCTCTCTGGATTATGTTAACCTTCTTCAGGACAGTTCAGCAGTTTCTCCAAGTTTCTCTTCTAATACTCCAAGCCATCTTTGAAGGGTTGGCTTCTGGGAACCGTCGTGGAACAGCATGGACTACAGGTTATGTTCTGGAACTCTCCAGAATGTTTTTTTGCTGAATCAATGAATTTGGCCATCCCGAAGAGCTTGTTTGGAAATGCACCGTGTAACTGCTCAGTCAAGAATTTTCCTAATAACTTTTTCTTATGGCCAACCCAGAGAAATGCTTGAAGATCCTGGGAGAATGTTTGATGTGCCTGGAATTTGAAGAAATTGTGACCAGAAGAGAAAATTGGAAATCAAGATAGCTATAATTCAGTTGCTAGCGAAATACAGGCAAGAAACTGTATCAGTTATGTTCTGATACAGATCAAATATCTTCTGTATGTATTAGATATGTTCTGATTCCCATTATATATGAACTGCACAAGTATACTTCTTATAAGATTGAAAGAACATGGAATGATTTCTACCTTTGTTTAATTTTACAGAAAAATATGCCAAAATTTAATAAAATTCCTTTCTACCTCCAACCTCATTCCTCTTCGGGAGCAAAAACATTAAAGAAGTAAGTATTCAGCAGAGAATAAAAATGCTTCCAAGAGCACGGAAAAGAGGCTCAGTTCTGTTCACCTAAGCCCCACGACTTAACACTGAATCTGCTTTGTCCCTAGGGATCGGCTCTCAGCCAGTGACATGTTGCAAGTTAGGAAGGTGATGGAGCACGTTTACGAAAAAATAATAAACCTAGACAATGAGTCTCAGACAACTAGCTCTTCCAATAATGAAAAAGCTGGGGAACAAGAAAAAGAGGAAGACATTGCAGTTCTAGCAGAAGAGAAGATTGAACTCTTGTGTCAAGACCAGGTATGCAGTTCTGGGCTCCTTACAGAAAGAGAAGGTGTGGGTGGGACTAGGGAAAGTCTAAATGTTTCAAGGATTGTACTATACAGAAAAAAGAGAAAAACAGTGATCTGGAGTTTTGTAAATTATCTCATACTTCAGAGAGTTTGAACACTGACTCAACAGTTGCTCCCAAAGGTTTTCCCCTGCCCCAAAGGATGAAAAAGTATTCCATTAAATCAGTACTTCTGAACCTTAGCCATTTTAAGATGCTGGCTGGGGAATTCTGGGAGTTGAAGCCTACACATCTTAAAATGGCCAAGGTTGAAAAGCACTGCATTAAATGCCAGGGCTTCTCCTCATCTCCTGTTGTGCAACAGACTCTCAACCATTAAGTGGGTGGATATGACTGAATGCATTGTCTTTTCTGGGAACTTTATTTTTCCTAGAATCTGTTGTGCAACAGATCCTGAAAGAATCCATGGATAAGGAGAAGGTCTTCTGTACAGTGCAGTATTCAGGGCAAAATTTCCTTGGGGAACAAGCAAGGCGTGGAAAAACTGCATGGGTTTCTCCACAAACAGGACCTCACTGTGAAGGGAACAAGTCCAGCCATCTGATGCAGTTTATCTGGGGACAGTTTCAGCGTTATGCTTTTAGTGCACAAGAGAAACTGAGTTACTTATTTTGGGTGTGGTTCTGAGGCGTACATTAGCTCTTGGGAGAGAAAGGTGCAGGCTTCCAACGAAGTTAAGAATAAGGAATGTACTTCTTCAGCTGGGGTGTATTTGTCCCTAAATCTAAATTATTATTTTTTATCACAGGTTTTGGATCCAAATATGGACCTTCGAACTGTCAAGCATTTCATATGGAAAAGTGGGGGTGACTTGACCCTTCACTACCGACAGAAGTCAACGTGAGCCAAGTGCTGGACCCAACTGGTTATTAACTCATTTGAGCTTCCTGTGCTGGTTCCAGCTCTAGTACTCTAGAAGCCCACTTAAATGCTAAGATCTGACACTTTTAATGCCTCAGCGCAGACAGAATCTACTTGAAGTGACTAATAAATCTGTAACATAGATGAAATCGGTATGATGTAAACTCAAGGTTGTCCATAGCAAGGTCAAGCAACAGTGATGTAAGAAGCCCTTGACTGGTTCCTGTTAAGGTGCGTACAGAGACAAGGTGACCCAGTGCAGATATCTGTGCAGTTCTCTTTTCCTTTATTTCCAAGATTATCATCCTTCATTCACTCAAGCTTGATATGAAAACTTTTTCAGTCCTGCTGCTAACTCATTCTCAGATTTTTTTAAAAAAAACCCTGCATGTACTGTACTTTGCTAATACATTCCATATAGTAAATTTTGACCACTTTGCCAGATATATCTACTTACTGTGCAACAGATTACTCTTCTTGAACAGTCTCTGTAGTCTAGACTGGAGAGACTAATGTCCTTAAACTGGCTGATGATTATCTTTCATCTGTGATTTTTCTAAGAAAACATTTTGATACTGACGAAGAATCAGTAGGCTGTGTTATTTCAGGGTCAGTTCAATGGTGTGCACATCAGGATGAATTGTTCAGCATCTTTAACTAGACTTCAAAACACATAACTTAGTCCTATAAGGTGACATCCTGGTTCCATACCATAGGATTGTATTCTACATTTGACAGCAAACTTGATCTGTGTGATAGCAAAAAAAGGTTTTCCTCAAATCGTTTTATATGCATTTTTGAATATTTTTGTTGATGTTGTAAGCTGTATACACCTTGGCTTTTTTTTTTTCATTGTTTCTAAAAACATTTGACAGCTCTTTCATATTCTCATTGTAGCCTTGTAGAATCTAATTTATTACAAAAGGTGGGAGGGAACGCCCCAGTGGCTAGGCAAGAAAAACTGAATTTAAGTTTTAACTGAAACAGAAGCATCCTGGTAATAGTGTAACAGAGTTCTGATTTGAAACAGAAGCACAAATACCTTTTTAAAACACACACTAATAAACTTGGATTCTTTCTTCCTTCCCTCTCCCCGAAATTAACATTCTTTCTTTCCTTCCTGATGTGTGCTGGATACAGACTACACCTGATAAGACACTGGAGATTTAACTGTAGGGACATAAGAGAAAACCATAGTTCCAGCATTGTTTTTGCAGCACGGGAGCTGCTTTTATAATCACCATCTAAGTAGAGAGGAGGAGGAAGCAGGCATTTGATCTAGCGGTCCTGTTGGAGATGGATGTGAGTTATACCAACCAGTAAAGAAGAGATGCTGTAGGACGTTGTTTTATTGACTAATAGTATGATGCCTTTTGAGTTATTCAGCTGTCTTTTTTCAAGTATTTTTCTTTCAGGGGAGAATAGTTTTTCTACTGACTCTGTTGGAGGGGCAAATAACAGCTGCTTTCAGATTTTTTTTTCTTGTTTATATTGTGTGGTGCATAACCACATAGTGCTTAGTTATATACATTGCAAGATTATCAAAGTGACTGTGGTGCTGCAAATAGACTTGTTTAGGTGGGCCACCTGTGCTCCAGCTAACTCAAGTCATTGTTTAATGAAGGTCTGGTTTGGAATGATGCTTGCACGACTCTTTCATACCTTGGGCATCTTCCTTTGTGTAAATTTCATCTTTATGTACAGGAGTATAGTTTGCCACATCTGTGCAACATTGCAGTTTAGTGGAGTAGGTGAATTCATTGGTTAAAGCTAACTGTAACTTGTCCTGAACTAGTTAAAAGTCTGTAATTCTGAATTTTATACTCTCCATATCACCACCGAAAGTAACGTTAACTCCGTCTGTTCTCCTGTTTTGTTTTTAAAATTAGCCAAGATTTCAACTTTATTTTCTACATCTACAAGTAAGTTTCAGAAAGATTAGCAGATGGCCTGCCAATGCCAAAAGGACAAATATGTACTTCACAATTGTATAGAAATAAAAAAACTTTAGCTAAAATTTTAAGCAGCTTTGGATGTTTCTTTTTAAAGATGCAGTGTTGATTTCGCTGTTCCAAAAAGCAGAATATAAGATTTACTGTATGAATATGTTTTGCACTTGCTGTGTGACTTACAAGTGTTCATCTGGTAAAGGAGATGTTTATGATTTGGTGAGTCCTTAAGTACAAACATTTCACATTTTCATAAAAATATCTCCCCAGGGCATGTTACAAAATTGGGCTCTGCTTTCTTCAATTAAAACTTAGTGCAAAGTACTATCTGAGCATAGGAAAATGGCTCTTCATCCTTGGCATCTTAGGATACACCTAGCAAAGTCCTGTGTGAAATGTTGAAGGACTCCTGAGAGTAGTATGTTTATAAAACAGCCTTTGAAAGAAAAGATGCCAAACACTAGCCATGCCTATCTTTGAAGAGAGTTTCAAAACTGCTATGAGATTTGGCCAGATGGCTTTCTGACTTGTACTTTATTGATCACGCTGTTCTGGCTGCCAGTTGGTTTCTGGGCACAATGGCTCCTTTACTTAAAAAGCCATAAATGGCTGGACACCAGGATAGCTGAAGAAACAGCTCCTGTAAAAGTCTCCGCATAGACTAAAGCAGCATTTTTCAACTCTCAGAAGTCCTCAGCCAGCATGCTGAGAGCTGAAGTCTGCAATCCTAAAGCTGCTGAGGTTGAGAAATGCTCATCTAAGATACCTTCAGAAGTCCTTTCATGTGGTCTGTGCCACTAATCAGAGAGCCTAAGGATGGGATTATGAGATAGGAGTTTCTGTATGGCGGAGTCCCACCTGTGCAACTCTTTCATTTCTGTTTACGCAAGTGCTACCCTTTTGTTCTGCTTGCTTTTATATGGGCCTGCTCTTGCTCAAACCTCCTGACTTAGACTTAGGACTGGCTCCACGTTGTACTTAAAAAGGTTCACATTTTGCCATAAATCACTGCAAGACTTTAGTAGTTGGCAACATACCAAGTTAAAGAAAATTTAAGAACAATAGAATGGCTTCAGATGAGAATAAATCTCTTCCAAAAGAAAGACCGGCACCTTTCACCATCTTTAAAAGTAATGCTCTTTAAAAAGCTTTACTTCCAATCCAGAAACAACCCATAGAAAATGATCCTGTCAACAGTTCAGGAAAGCCCATTCCACAAGGTAGTGCAGTGTTTCTCAACCCAGCAACTTGAAGATGCGTGGACTTCACCTCCCAGAATTCCCAAGCCAGCCATGCTGGCTGGGGAATTCTGGGAGTTGAAGTCCATGCATCCTCAAGCTGCTGAGGTTGAGCAACACTTGAGTTAGTGTTACCAGTTTGCTCCATTATTCACCCTAGAAGCAATCTTGCTCGCTTCCCACATTAACCGGAAAGAACTGCTTCCCCATCGAGAGGCACCATCTCATTACATTCGGCCTGTTATTTGCTTGGTAGCATGCACCTGAAATTAACATTGTATTGATTTAGTGCTAACTTCTCACCAGACATACAGTAGCTTGACAGTGATTGACCAGGGCTTTGGCATAGCATTTGAAGCCACAACTGCTCCCAATTTAGAACAGCAGAAGGAAAAATCCTACGTTGCTCATGTCATTTGATTCTTCAACTGCTGCTCCGAGAAGGTTTTCCTGCAGCAGCACGTAATGTAGTTAAGTAATGTAGTAGAGATGTAGTTCTCTGGGGTCAAACGTAAAACAGAGGTTAGGGGCGTGACCCAGTCAGACGTACCTACAGAACAAGATTGCACTCTTTTACATATGGGCACCCCTTGTACTGCAATCCAGACCATCATATCCTCAGATACAAAGGACTTGAAGGCCGTATTCACGGGATCTGCTGTGGGGCCTTGTATTAATTCTGCTCACGCATGACAGGAACCCTTGGGTACAGGTCAGGGGGTCAGCCTGGATCAAAGAACATTAAACGTTGATTTTTGTTATGGATCAGGTGGTACTTCAGAGTAAAAGATCAAGCTATGCTTCCTAATTAAACTTTTCGAACAAAATGATCTGAAGTAAAATTAATGGGGAAATGAACAGTGGTAACCTTGAAAACTGCAACCCAGAAAAAATGGCTGAAAAGCCCGACCCTAAGTTTTCCTGCGTTTCTTATGAGCTGCACTTGACAAAAAAACTCTTCCAGCAGGTCTTGTTCACCACCTCCCAGCCCTTGATAGCAATTGCGGGGCAGGGATATTTGGGAAGGAAATATAAAACAAAATAAGTATGCTAAGCCATATATAGGCTTAAGGCACCTATTTTAAGATAAAAACTCATTCTCAAAAGCTCCCTAAATTCCTACCTGCCCCTTCTGGTAATGCCAAGGTGTAGTTAAGCCCTTCCTTTTTTTTAAACGTACGATGTAGCTAAAGCAGTGTTTTTCAACCTTAGCAACTTTAAGACGAGAGGACAACTCCCAGAATTCCCCAGCCAGCCATGGCTCCTCTCGTCTTAAAGTTGCTAAGGTTGAAAAAATATGAGCTAGAGACAAATTCTTTTTAAAAATAGCTTGTTTCTGAACTGAACTGAATAGTTCTGAATAGTGTTATCACTAACACTAACTAACACGGGTCTACAAACCCCAGAGTCAACCGATTGCTGCTCTCAGGAGTACAGTAGTGCAATTGGAGGAAGCTGAATTCTACTGTGATTCAGAAACAAATCGAATGTTTCTGGACCACATAAAACCAGGGCCTTCTGGTGCCAACAGCTTCGAAGCCCAAGGACAAAATATGTCCTCTGAAGGACTAGGCCTCTTTGGTTTCATCAATCAATTCCTGGGCGCTTGTGTCACTGCTGTCCGTTTTGGGCGGTGCAAGGGTCTCAGCCCCACCGAGTTGTTGGCCCGTTTCTTGAGCATCAGCCTCCACTCCAGATAGTGCATTCAGAGACAGGTCCATAGGAAGGGGCGGTAGAGGAGACGTGGAAGGCCTTGCCTCGTGGAATTCTGGCAGAGCGCTCTCGCCTGCTTGAAGAGACACCGATTCTTCTGAAAATGGAAGAGAGGCCTGGTCTAAAGGAAAAAGACAGACCAACATCATTTGTAGCATTCACTGCCAAGGGCAGTGTGTATAGATCTCCAACAGTGACTCTCTGCTAATAGCATGGACTCTACTGAAACCAAGTGGATTTCGGACTGAACGCTGCTCACGCTAGCAAAGATGTCTTCTCCCAAATCCCTTTCCACTTTAAGTAACACTCTCAATGCAGCTTATATACATGTGCATGAGCGCACGCACGCATGCATGCACACACAAGGCCCCACAGATAATTTACCCTCTGGGGGAGATGGGTGGCATATAAATTTAATAATAAATTTAAAAATTTTAAAAATTATTCTATGAATTGCATTAAATGTTCCAATTGGTCGCCACTTTCTTCTAAACAATCTCTTATTCATTTGTTACATGGCCTTTGAACATTCTTAAGGACAGTAACATTTTTTCTGGAAAAAAAATTAATAAGACATTGTGATTGGCCTATGGGGCCTAATTTTGATACACCCTCTGCTAATGTGTGTGGGTATACATTCTTTAATGCACACATACATATATACATTATATAAAAATTAAACTGTTTACGGACACACACTCAGAATCTCCATGGAGTTAGGTGTGGCTTTTTACCAGGTTCTTTTGACAAGAGACATCACTCATTTTACCAGTGGATGAAGACGGCCAATGAATTTTAGCCATCATAATTCTCCATAAAGTTTATCAAATTGTTCAGACATACACATTCAATGTTTTCATCCACTTCTTCCAAGCTACTGCTTCAGCTATTTTGTCTGAATCTTTGCAACTCAGCTCACACTAAAAAGGCATCCTTGATGGAGGGGATTA